TTAGACGTACTGTGGCGAAATAGCGAAAGATTTTGTCCGGTGTAGAGTAGGCACGTATACGATTTTCATACTCAATGATCTTCAATCAGTGCAAGGGTAATTGCACGGCCCATTCATTTATTTACGTGAACACAGTGCATATGAACAAAATATATGCAATCAAATGCATGGGTTGTGGCAAATTGTGCATATTTGGTAAACAAAAAGGTTCATAACAATTTAAACACATGTAACATGAAATTAAAAGAAAATTAATATAATTTACAACAGTGAAAAGCTAAAAAAAGGATATATATACAAAATGTAAAATAAATAGACTTAATAAATAAAAATAGCTCTGCGTGAATAAAAATATATATCAAATTGAAGATTATGATAATAAAAAATTAACCTTTTACGTTTACAAACTTTCCTTACCTTGCGTTCGCGAAAACCCATCTTTTCCTTCGCACCACGCCTTTCCTTGCAAAGAGCAGGGTCATCTTTACCATCCGATTCCTCCGCATCACTATCATCATTATTCCTTACTTTATTTTTCTGCGGAGTATCTTTAGGCTTTGGTGCGTCGGCATCAACTTTCGGCATTATAGCGCGCTTTAACCTAAAGATAATATATATAATAATTATTGAAACATGTACATACAACCAGTTAGCGTAATATATTTATGCGTACACAAACCTCTTCCAGTCCAATATAGTTATGAAGAACAGTGTGCCAACAAATAAATGAAAATATCTCGTTAGCCGCGGTGTAGGTTCCTCTTTGTGTCCAAATTTTTTATATCCACGCACCGAACCGACCTTATTTGTTGTGCTAGGAGCTGGCTGAAGTAACAGCTGGTTAAAGTTTCGCTGACCACCACTAATCGTTAGGGATTTTAACACCAACTGCTGAACTCCATATTGACGCCGTAAAGTGGCTCCACACTGTCGTAACAAGAACATTTTCTCCAAGTTTTTATTTTAGTCTATACTTATTGGGTTATAAACTCTGCTATACACATTTCACTTAGCAATTTCTGCAGTGTTATTAAAAAATTCGTACAATATTCATTTATTTTCTGATAAATAATATGTTTTCATTTCGAAAAACCAAGAATGGAATGAATTCTACTTCCTCTTTTAGCACCACTTCACAATAAACGAAATCAGCTGTTCAAACATAACAGCTAATCGTTTTACAAGTAACCGGGTTTTTCATATAATGAATTTTTTTTTTGAAAATGTATTTAAAATTATATTTTTTATAAATGAGTTAATAATTAAGTAAACATCCGCACAGCACAAGTTATTAAAAGCATTTCGTTATTTATATCTCTAATAATTAGGAATAAACACAACATGTTAAAAAGGATTGAGCAACATTTTTATTACAACTCGATATAAAAAGGAAGAATACTGAATCAATGTAATTTAAAAATAGGTGACGTTTTAGTTTCCTTCCACCGATAGTACGGCGCGGAAATACTCGCTATCTAGTTGTTTAATGTCCCTAGCGAAATTTTCCACTAACGCACTTAATTCCGCCTCATCGATGTCAACATCATTACCCGACGTTGTTAACCGCTCTACAGCTGCATCAATTTTATCCAACTGTTCCTTATCACTTTGAACTTGCTTTTCGGAATATTCATCTTCGAACTCACTATAAATACGTTGAGCCGTATGCACAACAGCTTCGGGAAAATTGGCCAAACGTGCCACCTGTATGCCAAAACTTTTCTCCATAACTCCAGGACGTACTTGATACAACAGCGTGAAATTTTCAGCATCTGCAACGGCGGCCATATGACAATTTTTAACGGTCTTTACAGACTCAGCTAGGTGGGTAATCTCATGGAAATGAGTTGCGAAAAGTGTGAAGCATTTAGTCTGTTTCGCTAAATGTCTAAAACAATATATATATAAAATAGTTTGAATAAAACTATTCAAATATTATAATTGTGTACATACTCAGCTATGGACCAAGCTATACCACAGCCCTCATATGTAGATGTGCCGCGGCCAAGTTCATCTATAATCACCAACGAATTCTCGGTGGCAGTCTGTAGAATTTATATGCATTATCAAAAATGTATGAGTCACACACATAATTTAAAAATAATAAACTTTCACTTACCCGAACAATGCCCGAAGTCTCAATCATCTCAACCATGAATGTGCTCAAGCCTTTGACTATATTGTCACTGGCACCCACACGTCCCAATATTGAGTCAACCATCGTTATTGTCGCCTCGCTACATGGCACAAAAGCACCAACATGCGCCATTAAGACAGCCGTGCCCACAGAACGAATATATGTACTTTTGCCGCCCATATTAGGGCCCGTTATGATGAACATGTTGCATACATCTAAAAGTTCGCGAATATAAAATATAATAAAAATTAATAAAAAAAAATATACACACCATATATTCAAGTGCGCTCACCTTTTTCGAATATCACGTGATTAGCGATGAATGTTACGTGTTCCTGCAATTCCAAACAAGGATGCCGCAAGTCCTTCAAAGAGAGCACACCAGCTCCCTCCTTCAACATTTTCGGTCGCACATAGGGGGTTGGTGCTCTCATTGCAGCCAATGCAAAGCTGACCAGACAGTCCAGTTGTGCCAATTCACCATTCAATGAGCTAAGTGGCGCCGCGTACCCAATAGCCACTTTTATAATTTCTTCCACAACTGATTTCTGCTGCTCTTCATACTTCTCACACAAGTTTCCATACTCTTCACTGTACTCGGAGAGTTTTTCGTTGGTGAAACGCACACCACCCTTCACAACATCCAAAATTTTATAATTCTTATTTTTACGCAACTCGGAATCATCTTTCAAAGTGACACGGAAATGGTAACCAATTTTTGCAACGTTATCCAGACGCACTTGGGGTTTCTCCATATTCAAGTCATCTGCAGCTTTTTGCTGTAAGCGTTCCATTTTAGCTAAAATACGTGACATGTCATTCTTCATGTCCTGCAGCTGCTCATCAAAGGAAGCTTTCACAAGGTAATCTCCCGCTTCGATAGCCTCAAAATCCACCACTTGCTCAACTAATTGCTTCAAACCGGACAGGTCTTCTAAGAGCGATTTCATGGCAACACACAACACATTTTTCACAGTGGCATTTTCTAGACTCAGCAGCGTGTTTACTATGCGGGGAGTACGCAAAATAACTTGGTATACTCGAAAGAGATCCTGCATGGTAGCTTTTTGTCGTAGCAAACGTTTGGTTAGCATTAGCACATCAGGTATGCGTTTTAAGTAGTCATCATGAAGAGAAGTTAGTGTGCTAGGTGATTCGAGCAAGCACTGTACAATGTCATGACGATCGTTTAGAATTTCAATACTACGGAGTGGTTGCTTTATCCACTGAGCCAGAAGACGATGTCCTTGTGGGGTGCGACAATGATCTAGCACACCCAATATACTCTGCCAATGATAGCCGGGAGAGTTGGGATGCGTACCGGGTTTGGGTAAAATGTTGAGCGCTGCAACAGCTGCTGAATCCAAGTGTACAAAACTGTAAGGAATATGTATGTAAACAATAAAAATAGATATTGTTTAATTTATGAGCTTACCGTTTAAGATTCAGCTGCAACATTTTGTAATGACCTAAATTACTGGCGTCATTAACAAGATTTAAATATCTAATAGCCACACGCAATGCTTCCATGGCCATAGTAAGTTGCATTTCTGGCAAGGTTAATGCATCTTCCTGTTGTCCCTTCGCAAAACGTATCAACCGATTCAAGTCTTGCAGCAAGTCGTTTTTCTCAGCGGGAGTCGCAGCAGAACGCTTCGGCACAGTAACGCCCACATTGTTACGCTCTAGCAGTTGCTTGACGGCTACATACTACATTCCGCAAGAAAGCTAAATAAAATATGTTGCTAATTGACGTAACATATAATGAAAACATACCTCGCCGTCACCTGCAGGCAACAAACATTCTTTTGGACCCAACAGCACGACCATTGCTTCCAGTTCGGTGAAGAAATCATTGTCAACAAACTCCAATACATGAAACTCACAATCGTTCTGTTCCACGAAAGCAACACCTAAGCGCCGTTGGTTACCCTCAACTAAGCGTACTTGCAATGACAACAAATTATTGCTTACAAGAATCTCTTTATTGCCGAACAAAATTTCCTCGAATTGTAGCAAATTGCCAGGTGAACCACGGTATTCAAGGCTCCAATTATTGCTGACAGCACTAGCTCCTGGCGGCCGTACATAAACTTCTACGCGGAAATTGCGCACTAACAATAACTCTCGCACAGCCATGTTAAAGTTGGCCTTTGATAGCGTAACATAACTGAGTTTTTCGGGTTCATCTTGCAAAATGTGATGCACGAACGCGGTCGATTTGTAGACAAGCTTTGCAATGAGTTCGCAATCATCAGTGCCGTGCACAGAATAAAAATCAATGCGATCGAAAAAGCGTACAGTGGTTGCTGGTTTCTATGAAAGTTAATTTGTAATTAAGTTATTAAAAATATACATTCATATATGTATGCATAACTTTTTACGATCTTACTTCCCCCAATTTCGCATAGTACTTGATGAAGTTACGTTGCCCATTAATATCTACAAAATGACAATTAATACAAAGCACAATTGTTTTCTTAATTTACTTACCAAGATTTAACTGTGGCTCTTGTCTATTAGCATTTATAACTTCCATTTTAACAAAATTTGTGTGATGTTTAAAAACAATTTATTTCGCAATATTCGCGCCTTGAGCAAATGCTTCTTTTTCTCTGAATGCAAAATGACAATCACAATGTCGTTGTTTATCTGGTTTTCAGTAAAATTTATTAATTTCAATTTGTACATTATATCATCTTAATCATCCAGAAATGATATATATCAAATATACAAATATTTTTCATTTTCATATGACCAAGAAAGAATTTATTAATTTATTTAATTATTTATTTAAATTGTCTAAACATCACGCATCAACAATAGACACATTCGGTGTTATTGAGAATAGTTGACTTGCATTTAATTAATAAACAAAAAAGAGTGGTCTATGAACAAGAAAATGTTGATGGTTCTCATTTTTGCATAAATTAATAACTTCTTATATTACTCATATTGAGTAAACAGTGACCTCGAAGCAACTCAAGTTTCAACAAAAAGTATTCCACGTTTGCCATCGTATCAAAACGGGTTCAAAATGATGTTAAGAAGATGTCACCTCCGGCGATTTACCTCGAGCACAATAGTCTTCACATTACTTGCATCTTTAGCGTTTACATACTACATGTACTACCAACACAATTCAATTATTGAAGGTGGATGGAAGATGCCCACTTCAAACGAGACACATACGCCAAACCCTCAATTTTTGTTTAAAAATCGCGTAGAGGATTGTTGTAAGGAAGAATTGAAGGAAAGCGCAACCCAAGAAAACACAGATCCTTTAAAAATGCTGGGAGTACTACGAGATAAAAAGGACAAATACATACGTGACATTGGCTTTAAAAATCATGCATTCAACGCACTTATTTCAAATAATATTGGACCCTATCGTGAGGTACCTGACACACGGCATAAGGTTTGCTCTCGCGAACCCACCGATCCGAAAGAAAATTTGCCAACAATTTCAGTTATTATGTGCTTTTATAATGAACACAAAATGACGCTAATACGTTCTATAAATTCCGTAATTAAACGCACGCCTAAGCATGTCCTAAAAGAAATTATTCTTGTAGACGATTATAGCGATCTGCCCGAATTGGAATTTCATTTGTTAAGTGATTTGCACGCGCAACTCCATTATGACCGACTGCATTATATACGTAATGAGAAACGTGAGGGACTTATAAGATCTCGCGTCGCAGGCGCTCATGCTGCAGAAGGGGATGTACTCGTCTTCCTAGACTCACATATTGAAGTTAATCAACAGTGGGCAGAACCACTTGTGCGTGCTGTGAAGCAAGAAAATTCAACTATCGCTGTGCCAGTTATGGATCTTATTAGTCCTGATACTTTTGAATATACTTCCAGTCCGTTAGTGCGTGGAGGTTTCAACTGGGGATTACATTATAAATGGATAACTCTGCCGAAAGGTACTTTAAAGAAAGATGAAGATTTTAAAGGCCCAATCAAAACACCAACAATGGCCGGTGGTTTATTTGCAATTAATCGGCAATATTTCAAACACATCGGCGAATATGATGAGGGAATGGATATCTGGGGTGGTGAGAATATCGAAATTTCCTTCCGTGTCTGGCAATGCCATGGTGCCATTAAGATATATCCATGCTCACGCATAGGACATATCTTTCGCAAACGACGTCCTTATTCGGCGCCTGATGGCAAAGACACAATGAAACGTAACTCATTGCGTGCAGCCCACGTATGGATGGATGAATTTAAGGAGTACTTCCTGAAAGAGACAAATTCTGCGCGTGATATGGATTATGGTGACATATCAGCACGTGTGGAGTTACGGAACCGGTTGAAATGCCACGACTTCTCCTGGTACATGAAAAACGTTTACCCTGAATTGCAGTTACCAGGACAGGAAACTAAAAAATCAGCATCTGCAAGTGTTTACCAGCCATGGCACTCTAGAAAACGCAATTATATCGCTACTTATATGATACGTTTAAGCGGCACTAACTTATGTGCCTCGGTGGTGGCACCCAAAGTAAAAGGTTTCCTCAAGAAAGGCAGTCCACTAATCTTACAAGCATGCATGCATACACGCAATCAAATTTGGTTCGAAACAGATAAAGCTGAAATAGTTTTGGATAAATTGTTGTGTCTCGAATCGTATGGCGATGCTCAAGTGCATATTAATAAATGTCATGAAATGCTAGGAGATCAGCAGTGGCGTCATACGCGCACCGAACACAGTCCCATTTACAATATGGCGGCGGGCACCTGTATGCGGGCTAAAAGTGCAAGTATCGGTGCACGTATTGGATTAGATCTATGCTCTAAAGATGACGCCAGTGCATGGGATATTGTTAAAGTGGAAGAGGCATCGTGAGATATGCATAAATGGAAAATAAATGAATTGCGACACTGAGAATGATGTGCGAAAACACGAACAGAAACATGTCAGGCGCCATAAGTTGTGCAAACCGTAATTATAGACTGATATTACTGCAGCAATATAGTTATTATACAACCATATTTATAGGATAAAAAAAAACATAAAGTCATTATATGAGAACAAATTTTTGGCAGCTGTAAAAATATGAAAATATGTTTGCCAGTTATAAGTTAAATTAAATTTGACAAATTCAAAGCACACAAAAATTAATTTAATGCTTAAATGAAGGCTAAAAGTGCTCTCTAAAATCTTTATTTATATGTATTAACAGGAGTATGCTAAATTTTCGTAATTTTTAAATAAGTGTAAAGACATATTTCATATACTCACTTGTAATCGTTTAACCCCAATTAATTAAGCTTATGCTGGTATGTAGCTAGACGTTTAGAGTAACGAATGTAATTCGCTTCATTATACGGACGCTACATATTTTTAATAATCATTATTTTTATACGTTCATAAGTGTAGAGTGAAAATTTAAAAAGACAAACATAGAATGTATTCCTTAAATATGTAAACAGATTATGTAAGTTTCAATACATATAAAAACGAGTAATAATTAAAGAAGTTATTTTTATGTGATTTAAGAATACCATTTTATTGCGTGTCTTTTTTACGGTTTGTTAGTATGTACTAAAAATGTATTTTCTCCATAAAACTTCTATATATATATATATATGTACTATATATAGTATTTCCTTTAAATCCGCTTAGACATTGCGCCTACACGTTTGTTTTTATTATTAAATTTTTCTATTTTGTATACAAGCAAGCAATGGAAAACATGAAAACGACAAATCTGAAGAGCCAAGAATATTATTTAGAAGACCAAAGAAAACGAACGAAAAAATATTTTCCAGTAAAACAGCTTATGGAATTTTAGACATCTTATAAATAAAAACGCCGGAAAGGATGGAAAGTAAAAAATGTAAGCAGGAAATCTTAACAAGAGCAATCAAGTAAATGAAAATATCTAATATATTTGATCAATATGTGGTTGTAAAGGTTTCAACAAATTGTTCGCCACTCTGTATTTGTCTAGTAAAACCTAAAAAACCACGCTGATTACGTAACGCTTTAAATATGCGCTACAAATTAAACAACACGGAGAGGTAGAAAACTCTCTGGGCGGAACTTTGTTTACTTTAAGGTGGGGTGAAATTTTGGAAAATTCAGTTTCATAATTTTTTAGTGGTAGTTAGGGTGTGGTGAATTATACTGAAATATATATACTTATTCCATATTAAAAAATGTTTTTACGTGTGAAATTTCGAGAAAAACTTTCTGCATGTCTTTTCTTATACAAGTTCGATTCGCAGTTAATTACAATATAAGTATATACATATATTTTATTTAACATATTTAACAAATTTGAATTGTGGCAAAAGTTTAAAATTTACGTTTTTGTATCTTCAAGTTTTCAAAATTTCTTTGCAAATTTATCCTCAACTCAATATTTTATTATGTATATATCAATGATATTATCTAATTTTGCTTAATTGCAGATTTAATTACTTTATTTAACTCACACACTAATATATTATATCTAGATCGATCGTTTTGTTTGAACTAACTTACGCATATTGCGTATTGTTTCATTTGCATGTACACACTATTCTAATGATTTTAAAATATAGAAAAACTACTGTTCCAAAAGTTTATACTCTTAACGAAAAAAAAAAAAAACGGGAAATCAATTAAATTGCACATTGGCTAAATTGGGTTTGGAAATTTCTTAATTAGTTTTCTATACACGCACACAGTTTCATGTTTGTAGGTATATTGAAATACACGAAAGTTTTCTATAATGCGCATACACGCTTTAATATTTTGTTTTTGTTTTAAACAGTATTAATTTTCACATTACATACTCAGCATGCCAACTGTTTATAATTCGCTACAAATTGTTCGATATTACGTTTACTAATTTATAAACGTCAGTATATATATATATATATATATATATGTGCATATATATTTTTGTAATAATTATCATTTATGTATATATATAATTTTTTACTTATATAATAGCAATTGTTTTGTTTTTACACATCATTTTGAAACGTTATAATTAAACTTAATATTAGAGAGGGGAAATATAATAATACACAAAAAAGAGGAAACTAATGTGAATAAAAAAAAATGCGAATTTAACATGAACATTGATCTTTCGTATTAGGTGCTTCGTTTGTTAGCGAAGTTCGTCCCGGTTGTGAAGGTCGATGTTGTACGCCCGATTCGGAAGCATTCAAATCGAGACGGCCCTCTTGTATGTTTTGATATATTTTACGTGCAGTTTCGAGAAATGCTTCTTCAACATTTTGACCACTATAAAAAATAACAAGTAAAAGCAATTAGCTTGCAGCTAGAACATTTAAAATTAAACATAACCCTACCTCATGGCGCTGGCTTCCAAAAACATCAGACCATTTTCGTCAGCAAACTCCTTGGCCTCTTCATAGGTTACCTCGCGTGTGCTCTCCAGGTCTGATTTGTTGCCAATTAAAAAGATCACAGTATTCGGATTTGTGAGACTGCGTGTGTCTGTTAACCAACTGCTGAGATGATTGTAAGTGGATCTATGTTGAGAATGAATGAACATTATTTTCACTTAAGATGTTGTTATTTATTGTTTTTCGCAATATTTATTCAAACAGTTTAATTTTTTTCGTTCAAAATTCAAGCAAAATCAAATATTTTGTTGAACAGAGAAATAGCTTGGGCTTACCTTCTTGTTATATCATAAACCATAAGCGCACCAGCAGCACCACGATAATACGAACGTGTTACTGCGCGAAAGCGCTCCTGTCCCGCAGTGTCCCAAATTTGCAATTTGATTTTCTTATCATCTACCTCAATGATACGTGTGCCGAACTCCACGCCAATTGTGTGTGGACAATTCGCCATGACTGCAAATTAATAAGTACATGAATATTATCACTTTTAAGTATGCGAAAGGTTTTAATATATGCACAGCTACAGCTACTTACATTTCTTCTCTGTGAACTGATGCAGCAGGCATGATTTGCCCACTCCCATATCACCGATGATTATGTACTTAAAGATATAGTTGTAGTTGTAAGGTGCCGATGACATCTTTGGGTCTGCGAAAAAAAAAATTTGGAGTTTAAATAAGAAAAATCTTTACAACATACAAGTTTCTAGAAAATAATCAATATCATTTGAGAGTTTCTGCAACAACGACCACATAATTTTTAATATTTGGAAAACTGTTTAGTTCTATAATTTTTAAGTAAATTTTTGTTATCGTCAGCGTTTTTTGTGTTGTACTTCCGCTCAAGTTAAACTTAAAGTTTAAACTTCTTTGACACCATTTACTACGGTTTCAGTTTGTTTGATTACCAAACAAATGAGTTGTAGGTAACAACAACAATCACGCTCACTCAAGTCGTACATATAAAGAAGTTTTGCCTGGTTTGTGTATTTATTAGCGACGTGCCGGTAACTAAGCCACTGGCAGTTTGTTATCGCTACTTTTTGGGGAGTGCAAGCAGCAAAATGTAGAATTTAATTAAGTTACATACATATAACAGCATAAATTACACATGAGAAAGAGCACATATGTACATATTAAGTATGAACATATATACATACATACATATGTACATATATATTATACAAAATAATTTCATTTAGTCATACTGAAAAAGTATATGAATAATTGTAGGCGTAAAAGACAACGAAAAGGGAAACATTAGAAAACCTAAACTAATGCTAGCAAACATCAATATTGTAAAAAGTTGTCATGTGGCAGTATGTACGTACAAATGTTTTCACGACTACATTCCCATACAGCTATCAGGCTTGGTTATGCAGCAGATATTTGTGTTGTATTGCAATAATGATAAACCAGAGTTTTTATAAATTATAACAATTACGAGGAGAAGAAACCTTAAAGAAGATTTAATACAAATAACAATTCATTTTTTCGCTAACAATACTTAAAAGCGTGCTAGAAGTAAAGGTTTAGCATATAAATTTTATCTACAATTTATTTAACAATATAAGCGCAGCTTAAACAATGTATTTAAATAAGTACAAAAACGTTAACACATACAGGCACACCTGTATAAATACCGCCAGGTATGCGTTTTTAACTATGACGGAGTTGGTTTATTCCTATGTACATAAAAATATATGTATATCGGTGCAGGTTTATCACGATAAATATTTTTATTTTACCAACTAACTTTACATGACGTTCGAAAAGTGTACATATCAACTTACATATGTTAATTACTTGTATTGCAATACATAGCTTTTACTATGTCACACAGCATCGGTAAAATCAATATGCAAAAAAATAGGTACAAAGCACTCAAGGGATGGGTGAACATGCATAAATGTTCAAATATACATTTATATACAGAACCTTACATATGCACTTTGACGACCATAAATATTAAAGGTACCACCAAAATTTTAACACATGATTTTTAAAACCAAGAAAGTATATACCTATGAAGTCTTTGTTTGAATCAAAGAAATAATATGACTTGCTTTGTTTACAATATATACGCCATATAAGATAACAAAACTGAAACCTCAAGGTACCAACTTCATTCTAGGCTTAATGGAAGTTAAATGTTTAACCTCTAGAGCTTACTAGAGCTTGATTTTAACTTTCGTAATTTTTCCTAGAATATCAATAATTAAGCATAAATCATTTCTCTCACCTTTTTTTCGCTGTAGCACCGACTCCGATTAAACGATACCCTTCGTTAGCGTTGCTGTGGGCAAGTCTTCTTATAGACAATCACCACCTGTGTTGTTGTTTTAATGATTTTACTTCTTTTGGTGATGCTTTGGCCCTTTTGATTATATGTTTGATAATATTTATGTAGTTTAAATAACAAATGCGTAAATTTTTTCCTTTTAAAAGCGAATTATGATGACGAATAACTCAATTTGTACTTTTGTATTTGTAAATTTTTGCTAATTGCGTATCCCTTTCGTAAAACTTTCTTTGGCTTTGAGTTTAACTTTTAACACTTTTCTCCTATTAACTTCTTATTCAATTAAGACCGTAAATGTATAAACTTTTCAATTTCGAGTGAGATTATCGTACATTTTTCGCAAATTTTTACATTGATAAAGTCAGACCAGCAGACACAAATTATTTGTTCAATTTTCTATAATCGCTTATCTTCTACGTTTTCTCTCATTATTTTGTATTTTGTAATTTTTAGGGCTGCCAAGTCTTAAATGAAAGAGTAATTGGTTTTAATTGGAAAATGAAATAATATTAGGTTTTTTATTTATTACCTCTTTCATTTTTTTATTCTTAAATATTTATTTGTGAATATTTATTCTCAAAATCTGTTTTTTAACAAATTCAGTGCAACAAATATTATTATCCTGTAGTATTCCTCAAATTATTGTGAATACTTGAGATTTTTGACAGCTACTCAATCGCACGTGCATTGCTCAAATTGTTTCTCTCTCTGTGTGTTTACATTTTTGCAAAGTGCACCGCATCTCGTGCTTATAAAAAAATTGTTTTAATTATTTCTTATTTTTATTGATAAATAGTCAAAATTCGCGTCTAATATAATAAGAGAAGATGTTTGTCAACGAAGTGAATGATGTGAAAATATATAATCTAAGCGCTGGAAAATCTGTGCCAGAAGTAAGTGTCAACATTTTGAATTGCTTGGACCCTATACATTTTCTTTGATAATAACTATATTTTATAACTTCCAGTGGCTTACAGATCGTCGCAAGCGTTCCCAATTAATGAAGAAGGTCGATTCACGTCGACAAATTGAGCTTATACAGGATTTTGATATGCCAGGTGTTTGTACATCGATACGCATGAGCCCCGATCAACAGTATATATTAGCGACAGGCACCTATAAGCCACGAGTTAAATGCTTTGAAGTCAGTAATTTATCTATTAAGTTTGAGCGTTGCTTTGATTCGGAGGTGACAACATTTGAGGCCATCAGTGATGATTACAGTAAATTAGTGAGTAAAATTAATGAAGACGAACTAATAAGGAGTAAACAATTTAATATTTGTATTCTGGACCTCGTAGGTTTTTTTACAGTGTGATCGGTTTGTTGAAGTTCATTCTGCCTCCGGCCGACACTACCGTTTGCGTATACCACGCTTTGGACGTGATATGAAGTACCACAAACCATCTTGTGATCTCTTCGTTGTGGGAACAACGCGTGTAAGCAATTCGGAAACTACTAGATATGATTATATATTATTTTTTAAATGTACTTTTAGGACATTTACCGTTTGAACTTAGAGCGTGGGCAATTTTTGCAACCATTTGAAACGGATGCAAGTTGTAACAATGCTTGCGATATTAATCCCGAACATCAATTACTTATTGTTGGTAGTAAAGAGGGCACGGTAGAAGCTTGGGATCCACGTAGCAAATCACGTGTGGGCACTTTGGACGTAGCGATAAAATTGCCAGGCACAAAAACGTTTCCGTCCGTATCCGCTTTGAAATTTAAGAATGGCTTGCAAATGGGCGTAGGCACAGCTTCGGGACATGTGTTACTCTATGATATACGTGCACAAGCACCATTGCTGGTAAAAGATCATTTAAATAAAGTGCCGGTAAAACGTATATCTTTCAATCCGAGTCATCAAACAGTATATTCGTTGGATGATGCCATGCTAAAGTTATGGGATGAAAATACGGTAGGAATAATTTAATATTTGTGAAATATAAATATTATTTTAACGCTTTAAGGGCAAACAAGTGGCATACATTGAATCCGCTACCACTTTTAATGATTTCTGTACCATACCCGAGACAGGAATGGTATTCCTTGCTCAAGAAGATGTCAAAATGTTAACCTATTATGTGCCATCAATGGGTCCCGCGCCGCGTTGGTGTTCATTCTTAGATAACCTCACCGAGGAAATAGAATCTGAGGTGGTGGAGAATATGTATGACGACTACCAGTTTATAACACAAAAGGAGTTGGAAGAACTAGGCTTGGAACACTTAATTGGAAGCAATCTACTAAAGGGTTACATGCATGGGTAAAGTTAGATTTTTTTTTCAAAAGTTATATAGTTTTAAACACAAGCCATCTCTTAACGATTTTCAGTTACTTTATCGATGCTCGTTTGTACAATAAGGCTAAAGCGGTGGCTGATCCATTTGCTTTCGAACGCTTCCGCAAAGAGAAGATACGTAAAGAAATCGAAAGCGAACGGAAGTCACGTTTGCAGATCAAAACGAAACTACCAAAAGTCAATCAAGAATTGGCACTCAAAATTATGGACGAACAAACAAATAATGCAAAAGCAGCCAAAACCACAAATCTACTTGAGGATACACGTTTCAAGGCAATGTTCGAAAATCCTGAATTTGCTATTAACAAAGGTGCCGAGGAATACAAATTACTGGCACCAGTATTGAATCGCCTGGAAAAATCCAAAATCAAGGATATTAAAAAACGTATCGAAGTGGCGCGTGTTGCGGAGTTGCATGCTGAAGAGGCGAAACCACACGAGGAAAGTGACAACGATGAAGATCTGTTCGGCTTTGAGAAAAGCGATGACGATAACGAAAAATCGCCTGACGAAGATTCTTCCGATGAAGAAGGTATGCGCGATTATGCGAAGGAAATGAAGAGAGCCTACAAAGATGTTAGAAAGCAACGTGAGGAAGAGGTCGAAGCAATGGAAAATGAAAAAGAAGGCGAAGCACATAGTGAAAATGAGCAGATAATTAAATCAGCTAATGCAAATAATTCGGAAAACAGTAAACAGCGAGGAGGTCAGGTCAAAATGACCTCTTTAGAAGATCACAACATGAAGCTGAGCGAAATGCGCTCTAAAATAATGAAAATAAGTCTAAAAGATCGTGTCAGATTCAATGAAGTCACCAAAGCGAACGTGACCACGATTGGACGTAATTTGGGCAACCGACAAATGACGTTCGACTTAAAAAGGAAACCCACGAAAGATGAAAAGAAGCGCGAATACTTAATGAAAAAACATAGGGAAGAAAGAAAAAAGGTTATACGACCTATAAATACGCTGAAACTTAAAAAAGTAAATTTTAAGTAATAACTACGATGTATGTACATATATTAATTGTTTACATTTTGGTAATGTAAATTAAACTGTTTTGTAAATAAAACTTTATATTTTTACTTATATAGTGAAATCAGTAATTTTTTGTTCTTTATACTTTTGAAACAAATTAACATTGCGTTAAACCCGAAAGAAACGTTAACATCGACTGCACCGAAGCTATAATACTGGTCACAAATAGATGTTTGCACACAAGAATATATGACACCTATGAATATGTTTAGTAGCTCGATATGAGCAATTTCTTCGGAGATTGTACCGTTGCCCTTGTACAATAAATAATGTAAGTTTAATGTAAATTTCGTGAAGATATTTCGCCAAATAAAAAAGTTCTCCATACAAGGACATGATTTTGATCTGTCAGTTGGCTATAAGCTATAGTTGTCCGATACCGTTTGCTGCAAACTTAATACACCTTGTTCAATGCATAAAAATTAGTGCTAAAGCATTATCAAAAAATACTACTTTACTGCGAGTAAATTAATCTGTTTTGTCGATCAGCTGTTTCGTTCAATAATTTAAACGGATAAAAGGACTCAACTTTTAGATATTTATCTATTACCGACTTTTAAAATAACACTTGTTTCTTAATTTTGGTCTTCATATGCACTTATTAAATTTCTAGTCGTACTTAGTTTAATTTTAATAAAAATTGTAATATGATTGAAAATGAGTTACAAATTACGATTGATGGATTACCAAAAATGGTAAAGTCCCAGTTAGATGTAAATCAGTAATAATATATTGTTATCACTGAACAGGGTATATTAAGTTGACCATGGAGTTTGTAACATCCTCTAGGAAACGTTGTTCGGTCTGAAATTTGTTGCACTAAAAGTTACCTATTTATCAGAACCACTTATAAATATTTGTGAAAGGTTTTATAGCTTGGGTGCAGACAAAATTAAAGTTTTTTCTTTATTTTAATTTGCAGTTCTCTATTTACGAGCTTATAAGCCTATTGAATCGACATACCAACTCGTGGGAGTTAGAAAATCTAATACCATTGGGAGGCCACATAATAGCAAATATTCGTTGTGAAACCAACGAGTCATATGAATGGTAAGATGTAAATGTAAATATATTATACATACATTTATATATATTGTCAAAAAATATTAAACTTTATTTAATCGGGGAAAACCCATTTTTATTCGTACAGTTTACTTCAGCTACCCGAGAATGTAAACTGTTCACTTTCTAATATAGGTGTCAATAATGCATAGCTAAATAGCGATTACGTCGAACAAAATAATCCCTACAGTGCACCCAGTGATAGCATTTTAAAATTGAACTCGAATTGCTTGCGCCTCATCTTTGTAAAATGCTGTTTGCGGGAACAAATTTCTTTGGCCAAGGTGTGTCGTAATTTTCATAAGATCGTAATGGACATTTTCAGTAAGCGATGTCATGAATTATTTTTTTTTGACGCCTTCTTTACGAAAGGTTTGGGACTAAGCGTTGAAGAAATTTGGGACCTTTGCATATTAAGCGGTCCATATGTACGTACAGCGCATTTTCGTTGCATTTCTTAAGGGTATGCAGCGAAAATCTTATATATAATATGATAAACGTAAAATTAACATCTGGTTGTGTAAACATTTAGTATATTTTTCGCAAATGCGGACATATAAAGTGTTAGAAGGCCTGTTGGTTGATTTTACGGTACGCCAATTGGCACGCTATTGTCCCGATGTGCGCGAGTTTCTAGTATTAGATCCAAATAATGTATATGTACTTGGCAAAAACTTTCATTTATTACGTAAATTGGAAGTACTCGATTTACCACTTTGTATAAATATGTGTCGAGTCAATATACTAAAGGCGTGTAAAAATTTGCAGTTGAAATGTTATTGTTGTTGTTGTAACGGCAGAATTCTGCCGAGTTGACAGTCCTTGGCCGGATAAAAATCCGGATCCGTTCCGGTTTTCGTAGACCCGACTGTCGTGGGAACGGAAAGTTGCAGTTGAAATCATTGAATATTGTCGAAGTTCGACGTCTGATGTACCGTTTTTGAAACAGATATTCTCTCTGCAATTCAAAACATTGCGGCAACTTTGGTTGACGGCTTATCCAAATCAATTATTAATATGGACTATTTTGGCACTGCCATATTTGGAAACTTTGAAATTTTTTTATCCAAAGAAGCATGTTGACTTCGGAAAAATTTCATTTAAAGAACTTTTTCGGCAACGCCGACATTCATTGTACTCACTGTGTTGGGAGACTGAGCCACCGTTTATGATTAACGCATCGTTCGTGGAATGGAAGCCGTACGAAAAAGAGAAAATGTGCGAGGTATATGCTATGAGGAGAATGCCTTGGATATGTTTTGAACGTTATGCAGAGTGGATAGATCTCATACACGGTTGCACCGGAATAGAAACAATGACCTTCCGCTATAGTCGTATTTTGTCGAATGAAAATATTTTAGCACTACCAAATATTTGTAGGACATTGAAAGCTATTCACATGGTTGGCTGTTGCCAAGAGTCCAATGCAAGTTCTCTTGCATTCTTGGCATGCGCGACCGAGACCCACCTGGGAGTTACGCATTGAAGACTTGAACTGGATTGAGGTAAAGGTAAAACTAAACTTTACATACATACATATGCACATACTTATATCTATTATACATATTTACAACTATGTTTTTATACATTTCAGGAATTGAAAAAAGAACTTGCTCCTGGAAAAGAAGACAAATTGGTTTATGGTAGTATCTTATGTAAATTCAAAAATTCGATCAACCAAATGCTCAGCTTCTTCAGTTTCCTCTATTTTCCTGAGTTGCAATGTGAACGGATTTAAACAGCAGATTAAGAAATCTTTAGCTACGTTAGAATTGTGCCACATTGTTATTGTAATTATTATTTATTTTTATTGTTGCTATTATGTAATTCGAGTTTTAAAAACCATATTTATTTTTCATATTATATTACATTAAACAAAATAAAATTATTGAAGTGTTTCTTTTTTTTTAGGTAAAACTTTCTAAAAATAATTACTTCTACAAATATTTTTTTTAGCATTTTTTTTTGTTGTTTTGAAAAAGCATTTAGTAAATATCGTCTCGTGTGGATGAAAGAGGAGTATTCGCATTGGTCATGTTCCGGCGTTTCATCATCTTCCGCGCATGCTCTGCAATTCGCCGACTCCACTTTTGCCCATTTTCTGAAAGTGGGATGTTAAGGGTAGGTGCCGTGTAATAACCCCCATTATAGTATTAAGTTCCCTTAGGAGCCTCGGAGTAAGCGCTTTTTGGTCCGCCCATCATCAACAGTACTCCAAAGTAACTTTATGGTATGTCCTGTGTTGTGTCCTAAGAACTTAGGTGTTCCTCGGGCGGCTTAGGAGAATTGTGTTTCTACTGCCTCCGAGCAGATCAGCTCGTCTATGTTTTCATTTAATTTTAACCGAGTATTGGCACTACAGATAGCCTTAAATGCCGTTTGGTTATCGTTTAGAAGATATATGGACTTGCTGGTTAAAGCAGAAGCCCACTTAGTGCTTTCTGTTACGCCTACAATTTGGTCTGAAAGAATGAATTGTAGTCATTTAGTATGTATATATTACTACAGAAGAAGTCCGCTCCTGTTCCAATTTCACACTTTGATCCTTGAATATGTAGAATTTGGCGTTGATGACGCTGACTCTAACTACAATGCCCTAAAGTTGCCTCGTATTCACTTGTACATGAATATTGGCTAAATGTCAAGGGTAACCTCCAGAACCTTAGTTAACATAGTTTTCTATGATTCATTCTCGAACAGAGGACAGTGATGTTGTCCGCATAACAGACGACCATAATGTTTCTCTGCCGAGTAGAAGTATTAATTCAGTCTTGGAATATCACCAACTGATCAGATATTCACCATGCGCCAAATCTTGGAAAAGACTCGTGTAAAGAGAATCGACACGCATCATCTCTTCGTCGATTTCAAAGCTGCTTTTGACAGCACAAAAAGGAGCCGCCTTTATTAACACCAATAACAACGTCAGCCTCGAAACCTAATGCAGAATAACTCTAGCCAATAAGCGCTACTTTGGACTGTGTAGGCAATTAGAAGTAAAGTTCTCTCTCGACGAACAAAGACCAAAATCTATAAGTCACTCATCATCCCCTTCCTGCTATTTTGTTGCAGAGGCATGGACGATCTGATGAGTCGACGTTAAGAGTTTTCTAGAAACGAATATCGCAGTCGAATGAACGATGAGCTGTATGAGATGTATGACGACATTGACATAGTTCAGCGAATTAAGAAACAGCCACTAAACATCCGAATGGATGAAAACACTCCAGCTCTGAGAGTAGAGAAGAGGAAGAACTCCACCTCGTTGGAAAGGACAGGTGGAGAAGGACCTGGTTATACTTGGAATCTCAAATTGTCGCTAAACTTCGGAAAGGAAGAACGACCGGCGCGCTGTTGTAAACTCGGCTACACCAATAAAGATGAAGAAGTGAGTGTGAGTATCCATTCCATTGTTTCTCATTTAATCTAATTAATTAAATTTTTCAAAGCTTATCAAATTAGCCGCGCTCTTTAGGCGCCTGCGTATTCGAATATCAAATTGAAATCTAGTTTTCTGTATTTTGCAGAATTTTGACCCGCTTACCAGTGTAATTAATCAACACCGGTCAGGCTACCCAAGATAAAGGTAAATTTTTTTTATTCACACATATAAATTTATCTGCATACATAAACACTACACATACATATGCATATGTTCATCTATATATGTATGTAGAGTTGAACACAAGTTCACATTCGTTTTCTTCTGCTTTTTTTTTTCAAATTGCCGCTTAAACAATCGATTGTTTCCATAATTACAATTTTTTCAATTTCGTGTCGAACTTTTTTGCATACAAACAATAACAAATAAAACAATATAAAATATAGCTAGAGCTTTATAGTTGTACATATGTGTATGTACGCTTCGTAGCACCGAGTTCATTCGTGGACCAAATGCTGAAAATCCACAAGCGACACTACTTTGTACAAATCTGTGAACATACACATATACATGTATGTGGATATGTGTGTGCTACCAAACTTCATACACGATTTCCGTAGTTTAACGTTTGTTCTGCACAAAGCAGCCGTGCGCCGTGCAGTTTTTGTATAAATACGAGTTGGGAATAGAATTTTGAGCTTATTGTCAGTTTATCGCTTTAATAGCAAAGTTCACGCAGAGTTTTTTTCGCTTTCGCACGGTGCATTGTATTGAAGGTACGAAAATTTCAAATATTCATTATTTGAGCGTTGTAATGTTGTGCTACTTTATTTATTTGCTGTTACACAAAGTCCTTACAATGTTAGATAAGATTGATTAGATTTTGTATGTTTTCTTTGTGGCAAAGTTATTGAATTTTAGAATAATGTGTTTGAATCGTGTGTGCAAAAAAATACAAAAAAACAGTAAATAGTATTAAAATATTAATACCCTTCAAAGGTGCTTTTTTTGTAGCATAAAAGAGTATAAAGAGTTTTTTATCTTGAATTTTATCGATCAGTTTGTATGATAGCTATATGCTATAGTTGCCCGATCTAAACAATTTATTTGAAGTTTGTAGCGTTGCTTTTGAAAATAATCTATACAAATTTAGTGCATATATCTTGTCAAATAAAAAAGTTTGCCATACAAGATCTCGTTTTTGACCGGTCAGTTTGTATGGCAGCTATATGCTAGAGAAGTCCAATTTGAACAATTTCTTCGTAGATTATTCCGCTGTTTTAGAAAAAAATTTATTTCAAATTTTATGAAGACATCTTCACAAATAAAAGAGTTTTCCATACAAAAACTTAATTTTTATTGTTTAGTTTGTACGGCATCTATATGCTATAGTGATCCCATCTGAACATTTTCTTCGGAAATTGTAGCATTGTCTTGAGCAAAACTGTGTGCCAAATTTCGTGAAGATATCTCAAATAAAAAAGTTTACCATACAAAAACTCGATTTAGACTGGTCAGTTTGTACGGCAGCTATATGCTAGAGAAGTTTAATTTGAACAATTTTTTCGTAGAATATTGCACTGTTTTAGATAAAAATCTGTGTCAAATTTGAGGAAGATATCTTGTTGAATAAAAAAGCTTTCCCTATAAGAACTTTATCCGGATACTTCAGTTTGTATGGCAGCTAAATGTTATATTGGTCTGATTTCGGCGGTTCCGACAAATGAGCAGCTTTTTTAACAGAAGACATGTGCAAAACTTCAGCTCGATATTTCAATAACTAAGGCACTAGTTTGCGCATATATAGACAGACAGTCAGATATGGCTAAAATGATGATGAGCTACATACTTTTTAAAAGTTAGTTATTAAATTGTATATTTTCTTCCTCTTTATTACGTAGACCCGACTGTTGTGGGATCAAAAGCCCTTCTTCCTTTCCGTGTTTACGCTCACAGCACTTTCTTGTTCCGAGTGTGCATGTACTGTGGCACCCGTGCTCTGTAGGTCTGTCATGGTAATAGTATCACTACTGTGGTACCCGTCCGGTCTACAACTGGCTTGGCAGTAGTACTGCAACTCAATGCAGTGGAGGTCTGGCCGCTGGAGACACAGTTTGAGTGGTTGCTGTGCCTACAGAAAGTAGCAGTCTAGTTTCCCACCGATATTTGTACTAATATTCCTTCTTTCCGTTGTTGATTTCTACGGAGAGCTTTCCGATTCGAAGGTCTCTACCTCAAGCATTTAATAAATACCGCCAGGTATAGGTGCTGGCTAGCCGCAATAGCATGACTCAGCTAGACCAGAGACAGCTTGAATCCATCCCTGACATTGTAAGCAGAGACATTCCCTATTTTTTTTTAGTTTTGTATTTTAAAACATATAAAAAAAATATTAAACAAAAAAAATTTAGAAAAATTTAAAAGAACACAAAAACAAACTTTACAAAAATATTTAAAAATAATTTTGGAAATTTTTTTATATACTAATAACGCCTGTCTCTTATACACATCTCTGCCGAGCTGGCGGATAAAAATCCGTGTTTGTAAGGTTACGTAGACCTGTATGTTGTGGAAAGGACCCATATCTCTCTGTATCTCTCCGTTGACTCGGTTATTATTTTAAATTATCAAAATCATACATTGATCACTTGTAGCTTATGCATAGAATATTCTAGTGAGGTGCGTTCCAAACAAGCGAGCTCAAATATACCCACAAATTAATGCTTACATAACCTCATTTTCGTACCCACGAATTAAAAAAATCTTTTTTCTACAAATATTTCAATACTGGTTTTCTGCTTTGGCCTTTAAAATGCCAATAACTAATTTTTAAGCCAACCACTTTTGAAGCCATAACTCAAAATTTAAATACACACACAGCCACAGAGGTACATATACACACACACACACACATTTAAATTTCAGCTACGTATTGGTTGCCAAAATTGCTTACACAAAAAAGTTGTCCACAAAAAACTTAATTTTTATAATCAATTCGCCTGCTTCGGTTCTATTTGCTTTTTGTATTTCTGCAGTAGCGCAAACAAGTCACCATATTTTATGATTTCACTAAAAACTTATTTATTATTTATTTATTTATTATTTATGCTTGTACGCGCTAATAAGCAGCGGTAAGTATAAATAATCCATATACAAATGTGTGTGTATATGTATGTATATGCATATGCTCATAGGCAGCGTCCCCAAAATCTCGTGCTGTGTTCTGCTCCCGCATGAATAGACACGTTTTCACTCATACTCAATTTAACACTAATCGTTCTCTAACATAGCTCGATCTATGTTAAAAGAATAAAAAAGAATATTTCTGTTCACGCGAAGTTTGTTGCTTAAGTCTTTTGTTTGTTGTGTGTGCAAGGCCAGAGTTAAACGCTGATTTCTGTTATAAATATAAATGGCGTTGAAAAATAATTAATGTATTTTCAATGTTTAGTGTTAACATTTTTCTTTATTATTTATGTATGCATGTTTGTGTGTATGTGTGTTGCTGTGTAATAAATTATAAGTGACGGTGACATGCAGCTCCGTTGACATTATGTTTGAATGTAAATATGTGGACAAAAAGCAAACATATTTCTTTTCCTCTAAACATATTGATGCTTGGGCGATGCGAACATGTGTACATATAGGTATATATGTGTATATATGTATGTAGCTATGTTGTTTGTTTATATGAGCGTAAATGTTGGAAACAAGCAGAAATGTTGTCGCAGACACCGTGTCATTATCAAAGTGTTGTTGATGCCAATCAGCGTTAGCCTTGTGCATGTACATTTATTTACTCGCTGTTGATGAGAATAAAATAGCTAATTGTCGCCAGTATTTTATCAAAAGCATAATTGTAAGCTAATTATGTAATTAACTAATTTACTGGAATAAATTAGGCATGAAATTAAATAAATTAATAAAATCTAAAAAGGAATGTTAAAAAAGGAAAATTAAATAAAATTCTTAATTTTATTTATATAATTTTTATAACACATTTTAATTTTTGGAAATCAAGCTTAAGCTCAAGTTAGCTAAATAAATTTAAAAGATAATAATAAAAAGAACCAATATTAAATTGATAATATGCTCTAATTAATTTCAATTAAAATATTTTTTTTAACTTAAATTATCTTAGCTAACAGAAATTGGG